GTAAACTTAGGATCACTGTTCGAAGTGATTGTCACTGGTACTCCATGGAGACGGACTATGTGTCGCACATACAAATCGGCATACCTTTCCAAGGCGAAGTCCTTTCGCACTGGCAGAAAATGTGCTGACTTTGTCAATCGATTTACTATCACCCAAATCGAATCATGACCCCTTTGACTCCTCGGTAATCCCATTACAAAGTTTATTGTGATGTGTTCTCACTTCCACTCAGGGATTTCCAATGGCTGCAACATTCCACCCGGCTTGCAATGTTGTGCCTTCACTTGTTGACATGTTAAACACTTAGCCACATGCTTAACTATATCCACTTTCATGCCGTTCCACCAATAATACTGCCATAAGTTCTGATACATCTTCGTACTACCCGGGTGAATACTGTAATTACTACGGTGAGCTTCTGACAAAATCTCTTTCCTCAGTTCTGCATCATTAGGCACACACAACCTTCCACGGAATTTTAGAATCGCATCCTCGGATACCTAAAAATCCGGTTTCCTTTTCGTGACACCTAAATCCAAAATCTTCTGAATCTCTAGATCCGTTAAATATAAAGCCTTAATCTTAGTTTGAATTTCCGGTTCAATTCTCAATGCGGCAAGTAGACTTGAGACATGACTCACTTCATACTTAAACTCTGAATCCCAAGCTCCTTCCAAAGGGTCCATTCCTTAACCATCATATGTGCGATGCTCGATTTCCGACTCAGTACATCCGTTACTTTATTAGCTTTTCCGGGGTGATACAGAATATCGTAGTCATAGTCCTTAAGGAGTTCCATCCAATAACGCTGTCTCATGTTCAATTCCTTCTGAGAAAATAAGTACTTTAGGCTCTGATGATCCGTGTAGATTTAAAACCTTTCCACACAAAAATAATGCCTCCAAATCTTAAGTGCAAAGATGATAGTAGCAAGTTCCAAATCATGCGTCGGGTAGTTAAGTTCATGAGGTCTTAATTGTCACGATGCATACGCAACCTGTAACGTCCTGAATTCGACCCACTTTCGTGATCAATGAAATAGATATGTATTTCTCATTTCGTTTTAGTAAGTCTCGCCACAAACTGATCATTTTCGGGATACTGAGCAATAGGGAATGGCTAATTAGGAAAACGGTACGTGGACCCAAGAACTCGACCGTGAATCGGGTCCGATTTCGAGGAACGATGAGAGAATATTTTGGGCCAATGTGGGCCAATCCAAGGAAGGTGACGGATTTGGTTTGACCAACGATGTACGATCGGATCGCGGGTGATTCCGCACGACCAAGAGTACGCGTGGCAAACAATCTCGAACTTAATCCGAACGATCGCGACCTTCGGAACTAACGATAAATCCTCGCGTTCTCTTGGTAATTAAGATCGTCGCGACCCAAGTAGCCCTAGGTCGATATGCGTAACCCCTAAACAGCCGCCCGTTATTGAGAGAACCTAAAATTGTAATTGAGCAATTTTGATCGTTGAATTTGATCCGGACTTGAACGTCGAATTTCATGGACGTACGCGACTATTTTGCGAGGACGACGTCGTTTTAGTGTGGCCAACTATATTTGGGATCGGTACGGTCGAAAAATGGAAATTCGGCCTGGAATCGGAAAATTACCATTTTGCCCCCAAGCCTTACCATTGTGTTCCGAATTTTGGGAAATTATTGAAGGGCATTTTGGGGTTTAAATTTGAACTAATCAGCTCCCTCATTGCCGAAAATAATGGACAAGTTTATCCCTAGATATTTGGATGAGATTCAATCATAACCCTTGGATTGAGGACATGATGGTCATTTGTGGGGAAATTAGCTCAACCACCCCACTCACACTTAGCTTAAACACTTATCTCTCTCTCTCTCTCTCTCTCTCTCCCTCATTTCTCACCACCTCTCTTCCGGCCAACTTCTCCCCCACGCCATTCTATCCTCTCTCCTTCCTTCCCCTCGGCCTCATGTGAGGAGCCATCGCCGCCGCTCGCCGGACCGCCGCACGCCCGTCACCGTCGGCCACTGTCCGCGTAAGCCGCCGTCGTTCCACGCCGCCGCGCCACCACCCTCACTCCTCTCTCTCTCTTTCCCGACCGCCATCGACCAGCACCACCATCTCCCTTTCGCTGCCGCTCGCGCCGCCAAGGGAGCCACAGTCCGCCGCCGTGAAACCAGCTCAGCCGCCCGTTCCCCCACCCGTTCAGCCTTGTTTGGGAGCTTAGGAATTAAGTGAGTATTAACCCTAAACCCTAATTAGACTAATTAGCATTTCTAGATAGGTTTAGGTTAATTTAGCAGTTAATTAGGGTAATTTTAGGGGTAATTAGTGGTTGGTTATTGTGGCTGATGTTGTGGTGATTTGGTTGACCCAGTGTGATGATTTGGAGGCGGATTAGTGCCCTAGAGTGGGCTAAGTTGTGGCCGGCAAATGTGGACTCAATTGGACGAGATTTGGCTAAGTTGTGAGATTAATCGTGCAATTTCCGTTCGGGTCTTGAGTGTCATTGTATTGGCTGAATTGTGATTGGTTCTTTTGAATGTTGTGATGCCATGTAGTATGCCCCTAGAGTGGCCGAGAATGGAGTAGCGTGGCGGGCCTCGAGTGTGCATAATTATATTGTCCTAGTCGCGTGAATTATGTGCCGTGCTTGAATTGGATTAAATCGATTAATTGAGCATGTTAAATTGTGGCTTTGGGCATGTTGTGATTAAGTGAGCATGTTATGGCATGAGTTGGGCATGTCGTGTCCAGTGAGCATGTTAAGGCACAAATTGAGTATGTTGTAGCATCACTTGATTATGCGATTAGGCTTGGAATTGGGTTGCTCATTGTGAATGATATGGTTGCCCGAGTGCCGAAATTGGATGGACACGCATTTCGTATGCTGAGCATGGGCATGATACGAGAATTGTGCGAGTATGCGTGCCCGACATGAGCATGTGATCACCTAATCGCCCTGATGCATTTTACGCGGGGTTCAGATAAAATTTGGTGTATGTACGTGTGATCACATAAAGCCCTGATGCGTGTTACGCGGGGTATGGAACCCGTCCTGATGCGTCTTACGCGGGACGATGCCCGGATTGCCGGAAGACGGCCAACCTGATGCGTTTTACGCGGGTTCGGTCCGTATATGGAGATCGGTGTTGCGCCTGATGTGTTTTACGCGGGCTAGAGACACTGGGCCTGATGCGTTTTACGCGGGCCAGGAAGTGTTGGATATTGATAGACCTGATGCGTTTTATGCGGGTCAGACCTGATGCGTTTTACGCGGGTCGATTAATAAATGAGAAATTGGCAGTGTGCAAGTGTGAATTATTGGGCCGGATCATGAGCACGGGCATATTGATGGCATATGTGTGCAAGAATGCATTGGCAGGTGTGCAAGTATGTGCGTACCGGTGAATCGTGGGCGATGCAGCTATCAAGGAGTATGAGCATGTGCATGGCATACGTGTGGTTGCGTGTGTTCGCGTATGTGCCATTATTGCGATTATTATATGCCTAACCTGCAAGGTCATTTGTGTGCTCGATCTGGGCCTGAGGGCCTAGGTCAATTAATTATTGGTCTGTTCATGTGATTGTTTGCCTGTCAGGAGGTGCATGTTAGCCTAGTTTAGGTTTAGGGGGTTTACTCGCTGAGATTCGTTCTCACGGTTGTTAAAACCCACATTTTCAGACCCCCGGCCCTGAAGATGTTCGACGTGCCTATCCGTTTTGGGATCCCGTCCCGGATAGACCGGGAGGTGATCGAGTACCCCGTAGGAAACGGGGATACGTATATTAGACATTTTACTACCGTATGGGTTGATGTGTGCGAGCAGCACTTCCAGGCCCACGAGTATATAGGTTGGTGTTTCATGAACTACTCCGGGACTTACGGGCCTCTTAGGACCTTTGATGTCCCGTTCAACGGGCTAGGTGATATAGATCCCCAGTGTGCCGATGGAGATCTGGCGAGCCCCGAGGCCTCATTCGGAGAGGATTCTGACGACGGACCCGGGCCGGTCATCTGGGAGGTCGACGAGCCAGACTCGATGGATGAGGAGCCGGTAGACTGGGATTTTGACCCGGAGCCTATGGATTCGGATGGTGAGCCGGAGCAAATGGAGCAGGACCCCGAGCTGGAGGGCGATTCTGAGGGCGAGTCTGCAGAGACAGAGGCTGAGTCCGAGCTGGATTCCGTGGACTCCGAGGTCGAGTTGCCTGACAGTTCTTCCGAGTCCTCGGGATCTGACCCGGACTGGGTACCTTAGGGTTTAGCTGTATCCCTAGTTAAGTTGGGCCGATACCTTTTTGACCGGAGCCCTTCCTTAGGTTAGTGTTTAGACTGACCGCCCGGGCTACCTACCCTTTTTTGTCAGTAGTGGCCGTTGACCTGCTTTTGGTTTATTATGTATTTTGTGTAACGGATATTGTATATGTTTCCTTGATGTTAATGCAAGTGTATATTTGTAATGTTGTTTGTTGTTTGTGCTATCCTTGGTCACGTGTTTTAAAATTGTACGGGTATTTATGTTGCTTCCGCATGTGCCTTGTTCTCTGTGTTGGGTGTTGGGTCGGCGACGCGTCCTGGGACGTTGCACAAATTCGACCTCGGTTATGATGCTCGCACGTCGTAAGGGTCGAGCGTGACATCCCCCGTTGATTTGGTATCAGAGCAAGGTCAGCTCGGTCCAATTTGGTTGAAACCTGGAGTGATAAGGAGCGATGGCCTTGGGTAGCCAATAGGCTGACCTTCTGTGCTACATGTACGTCCTGACTGTCTGTATCTTGATCGACTGGTTGTTTGAACTGACCAGTAAAGTGCAGGTACGGCAGGACCCGAGGTAAGTGCGTGTATCTCCTTGGTTGAGGTCTTATGCTGCTTGTGTTTGGCCGCATGCTGAGTGATTGATTGCTGTTGTGTTAGTTCCCTGCCTAGGACCTTAGACCGGTTTAGTTTGGCTTAGGTCTCTAATTCCTGAGTGGAATTATAGTAGGTAGGTGAGTGTTCGAATTGTAGAGATGAGTAGCCAAGGAAGAGGTAGAGGTCGAGGTTGTGGTAGAGGTCGATGTCTTGAGCAAGGTTGCGCAGAACCGCAAGTGAGGGTTGTAGAGGATCCCAGGGTAGATGGGATTTTGAGGGCACTCGAGGAAGCGGGAATACCGATGGGTAGGCAGACCCAGGAGAGAAATGCCACTGTTGCCGCTGCTGTTGAGGCCGCTGTTGCTACTGCCAATGGGACCAATGGGAATAACGGGAATAATGGGAATCCAACTCTGGGACCGGCAAATGTGATCAGACCCATGTCTAAGTTGGTCGAACAGTTCTTGAAGTTAAAACCGCCGAAGTTCAACGGAAAGGGTGACCCCGAGGCTGCACCGCGTTGGGTCGAAGAATTAGAGAAAGCCTTCGAAGTCTTGAGGTGCATCGAGACTGAAAGGGTGACTTTGGCTGTATACCAACTGCAGGATAATGCAAATGACTGGTGGAAGGTCACCAAGGGCAAAGTATTTCCTGAGGGGACTGCCCAGACTTGGGCTATGTTTACCAAGAATTTTTATGGAAAATATTTCTCGGAGAGTGCCCAGGAAAGGAAACTGGCGAAATTTATGAGACTTCGCCAAGGATCAATGACTGTGGATCAATATGAAGCGGAGTTCGCTAGATTGTCGAAGTTTGCACCTAGGATGGTGGAGAACCCGCAGGATAAGGTTCGGAGATTTCGGGACGGATTGAAGCCGAATCTTCGAAGCCAGATGATTTCTTTGAATATTCGGGATTACGGGGAGATGTATGAACGGGCTCAAGCCATAGAACGAGATCAGTTGGAAAGGGTAGCCGCTTCTGGGTCGCGATTTGCCTAGAATAGGGACAACCGCCGCTTCGGGAAGAAGCCGATGGCGGGAAACAGGCAATTCGTCCCACTGATTAGAAAGAATATCGGAAAGCCGAACCACCAGCAGAATAGATTTGGGGCTTGTTTCAAGTGTGAGAGTTTGGAGAATCAGATTAGGAATTGCCCCCAGCAACGCCCAGCAGGTCCATTGATGCAACCACAACAGCCCCGAGTTGGGAATCAGGCTGGGAATCCCCCGCCGGCTAATCTGAACAGGCCGCTGGCATAAGGACGTGTGTACGTCATGGCGCGAAGGGAGGTTGAGAATGCGCCAGGCGTAGTCACAGATATGGTTTCTCTGTGCAATCATGTCGCGTATGCTTTATTTGATCCGGGGGTGTCGCACTCATTTGTGTCTGCTCAGTTTGTTGAATTGGCTAGATTAAAACCTGTTTTGCTAGAAGTGTGGTTATGTGTGACTATGCCATTAATGGATAAGATATGCATATCGTTAGGATGCCCGGACTGTGAGATAGTAATTGGTGGCGTAGAAAGCAAGATAGATTTAGCTATTTTGCCAATGTATGATTTGGATGTGATTGTGGGCATAGATTGATTAGTCAAACAGAATGCAGTGATGGATTGCAGTAGCAGGGTGATTCAGTTTAGTCCGGCTGGACACCCTGGATTTGAGTTTGTAGGGAGTCGAGGAGGAACCTCGATCCCTTGGGTTTCATCAGTAGAAGCAACCAAGTTATTGGATAAGGGATGTCAAGATTACCTGGCAAGTGTGGTTGATTCGATGGCAGGAGAAGTGCAGTTAAAGGATATAGCAGTGGTGTGCAACTTTCCCGATCTCTTTTCCCAGGAATTGCCGGGATTGTCACCAGAGAAGTGGAGTTTGTTATCGAGTTGGCCCCTGGGACTGAGCCAATCTCGAAGCCGCCTTATAGGATGTCGTTGTCAGAGTTGAAAGAATTAAAGGTTCAGATGCAGGAACTACTGGACAAAGGTTTTATCCGACCGAGTGCGTCTCCATGGGGAGCGCCAGTCTTGTTCGTAAGGAAGAAGGGTCGTTGAGGCTATGTATCGATTACCGCCACGGTGAATCGGGTGACAATCAAGAATAAGTATCCGCTCCCAAGGATTGACGACCTGTTCGATCAGTTACAAGGAGCCTCGGTATTTTCTAAGATTGACCTAAGGACAGGGTATCATCAATTAAGGATCCAAAAGGAGGATATTCCAAAGACGGCATTCAGGACGAGGTATGGGCACTATGAATTCACGGTAATGCCGTTTGGGCTGACTAATGCCCCTGCTGCTTTCATGGACTTAATGAATCGGGTATTCAAGGAGTTTTTGGATCATTTCATCATTGTCTTCATAGATGATATTTTGGTGTATTCAAGGAGTCTCGAGGAACATGAGGTATGCTTGGAAAAGGTTATACGAACGTTAAGAGAGCATGCACTGTATGCTAAGTTTAGCAAGTGCGAATTTTGGCTGAACCGAGTGGCGTTTCTTAGACATATAATTTTCGGAGAAGGAATCTCTGTGGATTCGGCGAAGATTGAAGCAGTGATGGATTGGCCGAGACCGACGACATTTACTGAGGTTTGAAAATTCTTAGGACTGGCATGTTACTATAGGCGATTCGTGGAAAGATTTTCAGCAATAGCCACTCCATTGACAAGGTTGCTTAAGAAGGAGATGAAGTTTGAATGGACAGAAAAGTGCGAAGAGAGCTTTCAGGAGTTGAAGCAGAGATTGACAACCGCGCCAGTGCTAACGATCCTTTCAGGACCGGGAGGATATGAGATTTATAGCGATGCTTCGCTCAAGGGATTGGGATACGTGTTAATGCAACATGGAAGGGTGGTTGCTTATGCATCGCGTCAGTTAAGGCCTCATGAGATGAACTACCCGACTCACGACTTGGAACTGGCAGCAATCATTTTCGCACTCAAGATTTGGAGGCACTATTTGTGCGGGGAAAAGTTCCAGATCTACACGGACCATCAGAGCCTCAAGTATTTGTTTTCACAGAAGGAATTGAATATGAGGCAAAGGCGTTGGATGGAACTTCTGAAAGACTACGATTGTGACATTTTGTATCATCCCGGAAAAACCAACCGGGTAGCGGATGCCTTAAGCCGGAAATCGAGCATTGCTTAATTAATAGTCAAAGAGTGGATTTTATTGGAAGGAGCGCGAAACTCAGAGTTTAAGTTCGAGGTAAGACACCTCTCCAGTTTGGTGGCGACGTTAAGGATTGAACCAGAGGTGCAGACCAAAATTAAGACGTTGCAATCTACGGACCCTGAGATTCAGAAGATTCTGGAGATGGATGGCACCAAGAGGAAATCGAACTTCTAAGTGTCCGAGGACGGAATTATGAAGTTTCGAGGACGTTTGTGTGTGCCCGATGATTTGGAGCTTAAGGAAGAGATTTTATTGGAAGCTCATAGGAGCAATTATAGCATTCACCCGGGCAGCACGAAGATGTACTAGAACCTTCGACAACATTATTGGTGGAACGGAATGAAGGTGGATGTGGCCAAGCATGTTGCCAAGTGTTTGACGTGCGAACAAGTGAAGGCACAACATTGTAAACCTGGTGGAATGTTGCAGCCATTGGAAATCCCAGAATGGAAATGGGACCATATTACGATGGATTTTGTAACGGGATTGCCCAGAAGCCAGAGGGGACACGATTCTATTTGGGTGATAGTGGACAGATTGACCAAATCAGCGCACTTCCTGGCAGTGCGAAAGGACTTCGAGTTAGAAAGGTATGCGGAATTGTTTGTGCGGCAGATAGTCCGTCTTCATGGAGTACCAGTATCGATCACTTCGGACCGTGATCCCCGGTTCACTGCTGATTTTTGGAAAAGTCTACAATTGGCCATGAGAACAAAGTTGCACTTCAGTACGGCCTATCATCCGCAGACAGATGGCCAATCTGAGAGGACTATTCAAACCCTAGAGGATATACTGAGAGCATGTGTATTAGACTTTCAGGACAAGTGGGAAGAGCAGTTGCATTTGGTTGAATTTACCTACAATAACAGCTTTCAGCAGAGTGTTGGGATGGCACCGTTTGAAACACTTTATGGCAGAGCATGTAGAACACCGTTGTGTTGGGATGAAGTGGGAGAAAGAAGTGTAACGGGTCCAGAGTTGGTTCAGCAGTCGATGAAAACAGTAAAGATTATCTGGGAAAGGCTAAGGATAGCTCAGAGCCATCAGAAGAGTTATGCGGACCGAAGGCAGAGACCGTTGGAGTTTCAGGTTGGTGACCACGTATTCCTTAAGATCTCACCGATGAGAGGACTGTCTCGGTTTGGCAAGAAAGGAAAGCTGAGTTCAAGGTATATAGGTCCGTTCGAGATTTTAGAGAGGATTGGAACGTTGGCTTATCGCCTCGCCTTACCGCCGAATTTGTCGCAAGTTCATAACGTCTTCCACTTGTCAATGCTAAGGAAGTACGAACCGGATCCGACCCACGTACTGAATCATGAAGTAATAGACGTGGACGACAAGGTGTCGTACGTGGAGAGACCGGTGCGAATCGAGGATAGGAAGGAGCAGGTCTTGAGGAATAAGACGATCCCGTTGGTCAAGGTTGTCTGGGAACATCACGGGACAGAAGGCGCCACCTGGGAAAGCGAAGAAGTGATGCGACGTCAGCACCCCTATTTATATGAGTAGTCGGATTTGGATTGTAAATTTCGAAGACGAAATTTTTGTAAAGGGGGAGAGTTGTAACGTCCTGAATTCGACCCACTTTCGTGATCAATGAAATGGATATATATTTCTCATTTCGTTTTAGTAAGTTTCGCCCGGAACTAATCATTCTTGGGATACTGATCAATAGGGAATGGCTAACTAGGAAAATGGTATGTGGACCCAAGAACTCGACCGTGAATCGGGTCCGATTCCAAGGAACGACGAGGGAATATTTTGGGCCAATGTGGGCCGATCCAAGGAAGGTGACGGATTTGGTTTGACCAACGATGTACGATCGGATCGCGGGTGATTCTGCACGATCGAGAGTACGCGTGGCAAACAATCCCGAACTTCATCCGAATGATCGCGACCTCCGAAACTAGCGATAAATTCTTGCGTTCTCTTGGTAATCAAGACCGTCGCGACCCGAGTAGCCCTAGGTCGATACGCGTAACTCCTAAACAGCCGACCGTTAGTGAGAGACCCTAAAATTGTAATTGAGCAATTTTGATCGTTGAATTTGATCTGGACTTGAACGTCGAATTTCGTGGACGTATGCGACTATTTTGCGAGGACGACGTCGTTTTAGTGTGGCCAACTATATTTGGGATCGGTACGGTCGAAAAATGAAAATTCGGCCTGGAATCGGAAAATTACCATTTTGCCCCCAAGCCTTACCATTGTGTTCCGAATTTTGGGAAATTATTGAAGGGCATTTTGGGGTTTAAATTTGGACTAATCAGCCCTTTCATTGCCGAAAATAATGGACAAGTTTATCCCTAGATATTTGGATGAGATTCAATCATAACCCTTGGATTGAGGACATGATGGTCATTTGTGGGGAAATTAGCTCAACCACCCCACTCACACTTAGCTTAAACACTCATCTCTCTCTCTCTCTCTCTCTCTCTCTCTCTCTCTCTCTCTCTCTCTCTCTCTCTCTCTCTCTCTCACCACCTCTCCTCCGGCCAACTTCTCCCCCACGCCATTCTATCCTCTCTCCTTCCTTCCCCTCGGCCGCATGTGAGGAGCCATCGCCGCCGCTCGCCGGACCGCCGCGCGCCCGTCACCGCCGGCCACCATCCCCGCAAGCCGCCGCCGTTCCACGCCACCGGCCGCCACCGTCACTCTTCTCTCTCTCTTTCTCGACCGCCACCAACCAGCACCACCCTCTCCCCTTTGCCGCCGCTCACGCCGCCGAGGGAGCCACCGTCCGCTGCCGTGAAACCAGCTCAGCCGCCCGTTTCCCCACCTGTTCAGCCTTATTTGGGAGCTTAGGAATTAAGTGAGTATTAA